GGTAATTTGGAAGACTGTCAGAAAATATCTCTGGATCCTCCCCTGCCAATGGACCCCTCTTGAAATTAAAAATTGACTAGCTGAATCATAGTTCTAAAGTACCAAAATTTTTCGGGGCCCTTCAGCAGGCCCCGAACCCCACGCCAAGGGGGGGGGGGGGGGGGGTTAAGGTCGTCTTCGCATCCCCGGCCCCCCTTCAAATAATCCTGGATCTGCCCCTATAGGTTCATATAGAACATGCCCTGAGTGTCAGGGCACAATAAAGCTAGCTTGCTCACTGTACTTTTCATGTGGCAGCTTTAAAGTCAGTATTGCTGATATGGGTTATATAATAAATCAAGATCAAGCTGGCAATACTGGAATCTAGAACCTAGGGTAATAGAACATGTCTTGGATAGGAATCTCATAGAGCATCCGGTAGAATTCCTATAGTCTTGTAGGATTTTTACATAGTCACACAGAGTCCTATAGGAAAGTTTTGAAAGGTTAAAAATTTACACAAAGATGAAAAACAACGTTAAATCGCCCACAAGAAAATTAAACCAAAAAATGAATAAAAGATAAAGAAAAAAACCAAACAAAACAGGAACAGCGTAGACGTCAATGGGGAAAAGTTATAAACAATTAATACGTTTCTACGTATTTTTTGGGTTTCCATGGAAAATTATTCTGCGCACATAAGAAAACACTGACGTCACCCAATATTTTAGGCTACCAGCCATGCGTTCCTTATTGTATTATAACTTTATTCGTTTTTTTTTCATGGAAAAATACAAATAAATAAAATTACTCTGAATGTATTCAAAGAACTGAAATTTCTATTAAAGCACGCTTTTCTTATTTATTCCCCGTAAATTATAAACGTTTTGGGCACAAAGTCGGATGAGAGCCACGCAAAACTCTATGGTCGGGTAAACACGAGGCAATGGCTTGCCAGCATGTGCTCCGCATAATTTCTAAATTAATTCGGTTTTGCATACAAAACGGAATTTTGCACTTGAAAGGTAAGGCAGATTAGAAACGTATTACTCACAGGAGACTGATTTGAGAACAAATGATAAATCATCTTTACACAAAGAAAATTACAAAAATTACATGTTTTTTCATGAAAAGATAATTTAATGTAAAATAAAAAAAGAAAGGAACAAAGTATAGCCTTAGCATTTTAACTAGGATGATTGTAAAAGCCATGTGTAATAATAATAATAAAAAAAAAACACTTCTTTAAAACCGCGCTACACAAGCGTCTCAGCGCTGTTTACATAAAAAAATAAAAACTCCACAGATAAATTAAAGCCAGTATAGACTAAAAACAGAATACTTAAAAATTTTAAAAACTAAAAAGATGCTATAAATTAAAGTATTCTTTAAATAAAAAAGTTTTTAAATTCTTCTTAAAACAGTAATATGAGTCATCCAGAGACACATTAGATCTTGTGATAAAATTAGACCATAAAATCGGTGCACAAATCTCGAAACTTCTGTGTCCATATGTTTTAAGAGTCTTTTTGGTGTCTTTTCGCTTAAGTTGAAGTTGTCCACTAGATCGAAGTGATCTGATAGGAGTTAAAAGTTCTATGGTAGAATTTAAGTAAAATGGACAGTCGCCCTTTAAAATCTTAAAAGTCAAAAGTAATATTTTAAAAACTATTCGTTGAGACACGGGTAGCCAGTGGAGGTTTCGCAGAATTGGTGTGATGTGGTCGGACTTCTGAGCTTTACAGAGGAGACGAGCAGCATTTGATAGTTAGGTATTCCAAACAATAGGCTATTGCAATAATCCAGTCTAGAGGTTACGAATGCATGGATGAGTAATTCAGTTTGCTTGGTGTTAATAAGGTGAAAGATCTTGGATATCCGTTGGAGACTAAAATATGCTGTTTTAAATTCTTTGTTAATGTGTGATGTCATTTCACATTTGTTATTAAAAATAACACCCAAGTTCCTTACTTCTGTTGTTGGTTTTATAAAAGAATCCCCAACTCTAATACTATCAAGTGCAGTATTGTCTTTGGAAAACTTAGAGTTGAAATGGACTAATTCAGTTTTTTCATCATTAAAAACTAAGTAGTTGGACTTGAGCCAAGATCTAAGTTAATTCACACAAGCCTCAATAGTTGCTTTTTCATCACAAAGATTTTCACATATAACATATATCTGGGAATCATCTGCATACAACATCAAATTGAAACCAAACTGAGCAACTATATCCTCAATTGGTGAGGTGTAGAGTGTAAACAGTATAGGACCAAGCACGGAGCCTTGTGGCACACCATAAAGTAATTTGCTTAATTTTGAAACAGAAGAGCCTATGCGTACATGTTGCTCGCGTCCAGTTAGATAAGACCGAAACCAGGAGAGAACTGTCCCAGTTATCCCAAACCGATGTGCAAGTCGTTGGAGCAATATGTCGTGATCGAGAGTATCGAAAGCTGCTGATAGATCAAGAAGAATCAATGTCACATGTTTCTGATCATTCAGGGCTTGGAGAATGTCATTCTGCACCTTAAGAAGGGCTGTTTCTGTACTGTGGTTTGGTCTATATGCAGACTGGCATTTTGCATATAAGGAAAAACTGCTCAAATAGTCATTTAATTGGCTTGCAACAATACGTTCCAGGAGTTTGGAAAGAAATGGCAGATTCGAGATTGGTCGATAGTTTTTTAGGACATTAGAATTAAGGTCTGCCTTCTTTATCAGTGGTCTTAGCACTGCCTTCTTAAAGCACAGAGGGACTTTTCCAGTTTCCAGCGATTTGTTCACAAGTTGGGTTAGAAAAGGTACAAGTTCATCAATATTTTCTACAATCAATGCTGGAGGTAAAATATCAAGAATGGACGACGTTGGCTTTGCCTTCTTCACAAACTTCTTGACTGTATCCAATGAAACAGTAGAGAACTTATGGAAAGAGTATGGACACAAGCGATCAGTTGAAGCTGTAGATAAGGTTTTGTCTATACAGTTCCTGAGGTCAGTAACTTTCTTGTGTAATTAGCTATTATACCTGTACGCTGACTTTTTTGAACATAATATTGTAAAAATTGCTGGATTGCTCCTGAAAAAAAAATGCAATTTAGCAAAACTCCCTAATACCTTTTTTTTTAATTCCAGAAAATCAGTTTTGACACGATCCCTCTTGCTGTGACAGTACCCTATGGCCCTGATTGTGACATATGTGTCTCCTCTGACGCATTTGGCGGACTTCATTTCCGTACAGCAGCAGACAGCCACAGTGCTAGCACATCTTAATCCTCAAAACATCTTAATTCTCAAAAATATTGGAACAAAATATAGCATATAGTAAAAGGTGGTAAATCGCCAAAGCGTCATACCCTCACCCTATACTATATCAACAACAGCCATATAATAATAAAAATAAAAATGATAGTAATAATAATAATAATAATAGAGTACTGTAGTATAATATACGCTAAATAGAGGGATCACCTGGAGTGTCATTTGCCTTTAGAACTTTTAGAAGTTTTTAATATTTGATCCCAATATCTTACAAGGGCCAACTTCAAAATTTACCTTTGGTCTTCAAATTTTGTTAAAAGACCAAGCACGGTGAAACTCGTACGTCTGTTTATATCCTCAAATATGAAAATACTTCAAATGTTGAACAATGTTCTACCTCATCTATAGAAATGACATAGCAGCAAAATAGTTGTTTCTTAAATACTATCACAATTTATCGCCACATGCATGAACCTTCACCACAATCTAGCGTCACATATTTTAAAAACACTTATTATAAATAACAACATCTTTCATGTGTTCAGTGCGTCAGGTTTATTTTTGGCACTGTTGTCTTAAAATGCGACCGTGACCCCAACGTTATCACTGATCTCTTTACTCTAACGCTGTTACCCAATAAAGAGCTTGTAGGGAAAGCATTTCGTCACGGATTCCCTAAACATATTCAAAATATGCTTTAAATTTTCATCGAAGAACGCGTACTTTATGTTTAATAGTCAAAAATGCATTAGAAACGCTTGGTCCAAAGAATGTAGAATAAGCATGATGTACCATGTTATTGAATATTTAAATCAATTTATAGTGAAACACATTATTTCTCTGGCTGTTGACAGTCATTTTGTAGTATAAGGCAAATCAAATCAGTGAGCCTCCCCCAGCTGATTTTGTGGCAAGAACGAGTACGAGTGGGCATTGGAGGCAATCTTGCTAAAATATGATTACAATATGGTATCAAGTTTATTCATGGGGACCCAAACCATTAAAATTCCCGCAATAAGTATGTAGTTAAATCGTGTGACTAAGGAGAGAAATAAATGAGTATTGTAAGAAAATATATTGTTAAAAAGATGTTAATATGGCTGTTATATATTTCTATATAATTCTATATTTTGGACTTGGCGGATATATTGTGAAACTGTCTATAGTTTCAATTGCTGCATACAAGTTGCAACATCAGTGTTGACATGTAAAACGTCCAAAGTTAGGCCCCATGGCGTTATAAGTAATGAGATGTCACGGTAACATGCATAACGGTGCTGTTTTGTCTATAAAGTGAAATAACTCTTATCTTTTAAGCCAGTTTAAGAGGAAATTTTTATTTCTTTGGTTTTTGATGGCCATTTCAACAAATGTCATCAGCATGTTTCTTCAGTACTTTATTTTTACTCAGTATACATTTACCTGACTCTAGTCATAGTTTTCTAGGTTTCCCAACGCCAAAGGTATACAACTGCAAAGAGACCAAAAAGTAACGTGTCCCGTTATTGAAACAAATCCAAATCAATCCAATAGAAAATCAAATAACGACAACGTTTCTGACACGGTGAAGTACACGTGCCTTCAGCATGTCAACTCCGGCAGGTCACTTGGTGTGGAAGAGATTGAGTCATTGCAAGATCTGCTGTTGGAGGTTCGATAAGTGTGACGAACACCAAGATTTGATTACCTGTTCTGATACCAGGACTTAAAATAAATCTTTGTCAGGAAACGTGTGTTTATCATGTGATAGCAGACGGGGTTAAAAAGGGTTGGCGCGTCCGTTAGGATTAAAGGACTGACAACCCGGGAAGAAGCGCGAAAGGGACATCAGTTCACAAAAAGTGGGCATAAGCCTTGCTCCCACTGAGTGGCTTAACCTGACAAATCACTTTATTTCAGAAGTCAAATATTTGCAGGATTTGAGGACGGTTGGTCTCATCGCAGCAGCATCTGCCATATCTACCTGCCGTTTCCCAACGCTTCAACTACCGGGCCAGAGCAGACACCAAAATGTCGAATCGCGTGGCACTTTTGATTTGTGTTTTCGCAACGATCATAACCGTTTCTAGTGCCTTCCCATACTTTGGCAATAGGCTTCCTAACGGCCAGAACGTCCCCCACCCATGCAAGGAGAACACCAAATGGCTGGCATTGGGACACGTCAAGCTGGCAGGCGGACAGCCCAATAACCAGTTTGGACTGGTAGGTTGGCTTGGTTTGTATTTGCTTAATTTCACCAAAGAAGTGTTGGTTGGCCAGCTACATTTAAGGTTCACTGCACAGTCAGTGCCATCCGTCTGTGAATTTTGATTAATACATTCTTTTGTTCATAGATCAATCTCTTCAATAATTTTCTTTTAAATATCCATCTGTTTGTTTCTAAAGGTTTGTTTTATGGATTTACTCGTTTTTTATTTTATTTTGGCGCTATGGTATCAATTTTTTTCTATTAATTCATTAATGTATAATCTATTCAGTGATTTATCTCTATTACATGGTAGCAAATACGACTTTTGGTCTCATTGTTTACCAAAATTTATCTTATCTTAGACCTAAATAAAAAATCTTGTCACAGACGCCTGTTTGAAAATATCGTCGGCCAATCTACCGTTTCCATGTTCATGTTAATCCCCTTGCACCATGGTTACTAGTTATACTTGTAGGGCCAACTCTTTTCAAATTTTTTATTCATTTATCATTTATTTATTACCCATATATCTAACTTCCTACTTATCTTGTAGTCTGATACATGTTTATCTGGTAGTCTGTCAAATTACTGAGCCAAAGACATCTCCATTGAAAAATTCAACCAACACACTGATTTGCTAAATAACGCCTTTCTGTTTTTCATCCTGTTTTTTATATGTACAGTTATACTTGTTTCTATATCCTATGCTATTAATGAGATGTAATACATTTTTATTTTAACGTGAACCAGTCACTTCAGAACTTTAAAGCGAATAGATCAAGGTGGAGCTTAAAAGGTGCCCAATGTCAGATTTTCCCTTGACTGACTCATTCTTAAGGCATTTCCAAGCAGTAGATCTAAACATTACATTTCTCCTTCTAAGCAGCCAATGATCCTACTTTCCTGACAGTCACCATAAATGAAATAGTCTTGAGAAATTAGTAAGTCCTTCACTTAAACGATGTTCTTTTCACGGTCTCTTCAAGTTCATTTCTCGCACTGCCTTCCAGAATGGTTTCAACCCGAATAATATACTTCTTTATAGTCGATTAGTAGAATTGGTGCTATTCTTCAGGACTTTAAGGCCGCTAATTACCAATGGACCTCTGAACTGTGTAGGAAGGACTCTGATCAGGATGGAAAGACGAACGGTGAAGAACTTGGAGACCCTAACTGTGCCTGGCAAGAAAACTCGGTTTCGGCCGTTCTAAGGACCGAAAATATTACACATCCAGGTAAAAAATGTTTATTTGCAACAAATCGGAATTATGAATGAATAGTGAATACTAATACTTAAATGTTCAAAAATTTTTCCAATATGGCCTTATAAGCTAACTTGTCTCTTCAGGTATTTGTGAACCAGTGGACTCGGCACATTGTCGTCGTCTTCAGAATTTCACTTACGAATGCCAGGGAGAATACAACTGCACCGCCACCAAGGAGTCGCACGTGAAGACCTTTGACCTCAGGTTCCCAGAAACCTCGGTGCCAGCAGAGGAAACAACTTACATATGTAATGTTTTCAAGGTAATAATACAACTTTAGTCCGAAAAACAATAAACTATGAAAACAAAATAAATTTGGCGGAAGAGAGGAAGGAACACATACTAGAAAATGCAAGACGCGAAGTGAGCTGACTCCATACATACAGCCAAAACAGGATTCACCCATCACAATGAAAACATTATTTAAAACAATACGCTCATGTTCATATTCAGATCACACGTTGGCATATCGCTGTTCCATTGCAGGTTCCAACTGACAAGGAGTACCACGCCGTCGCTTTTGAACCCATCATAGGCAACAACATGGTTCTTCACCACATGGTCGTTTATGGGTGCTCGAGAACGCCACTTAGAAAGGTAATTTATCCAGTGATTTTTCTCTTACTTAAATGTATTACCCACCAAGTGTTTATCACCATAACATCTTTTTACAGGAAGTACCAGAAAACTAGTTTTATATTTATGTTTGTTTTGTTAATATTATGAAAAAGATTTTGTGAAACACAATTAATATGTGTATGCATGCCATAGGGGTTACGCTGACAAATACAAATACGTACAGTAAATGTGTTTACCGGGTTACGTCTATTTTTTATTTATTACTTTAGATGTAAAGTCATTTTATTATTGAAGACCGTATCTTTTGAAAATACCAGGGCCCCCATCTATGTAACATGTTACCCGAGTGCCGTCAAACAATAACAGTTTGGTCCACTGGGATGGAGGGATATTGTCTTTCAAAGAATACAGGGGTTCCATTCGGAAAAGGCTCGTATGAATATCTGGCTGTGGAAATACACTGGAACAACCCAGAGCTGAGAGCAGATTATACAGGTAGGTTGTATTCCCAGAAATATCACATTTATACAAATAATAATAATAATAATAATAATAATAATAATAATAATTATTATTATTATTATTATAACACACTGTCAATGATCGGCCAAAAGGAACGAACACAGATTTTTTAAATGAAATTTTCTGACTCACCAAGTGAAGTCGACAGGATTTTTTTATTCTGAACACAGAAATCCTTGTCGGGCTTAAACATAGAAATTTTAGACTTTTACAAATGCATATGTATCACAGCATCAAGGTCGAATCCTGCATAATATAGATATTGAAAATTCAACCAAATTTCCAGACAACTCCGGAATACGCATGTTCTTCACTGACCGCCTGCGTCCATTCTCCGAGGGGACGGGCACATTTGGTCAGTTTGCCCTGGAGATTCCCCCAGGAGTGGACAGTTTGACCATGTCCGGGGTGTGCCAGTCCAAGTGTACCGAGGAGAAGTTTAATCAGGACATCAATGTGACCTCAGTTCTTATGCACATGCATTATCAAGGTACAGTGGAGCTAAAACAACACTGTGATTTATTGGAATGCGCAGAACTAAGTAGACAGCAAAGTTGCATATGTACAGACACTTACAGGAAATTACGTTCTCGTTATAAGTTTTAACAAAAAAGCACATTCCAGTGAACATAGAAAAAATGATCCAACTTTCCAATGTTTGCAGTGACGGACTTCATGGGTGTTGTGTAATTGTCTTCCAAGTCATGACTGTTTCTTTTGCACTGAACTTGCTAGATTACAGAAGTTTTCAGTCTATGTAAACGGGTTTAGCTCTTTATTTCAAATTCATAAAGATACAAGCACTGTATAAAGTCATACATTCGACCAACAAAATAATTTCGTTGGAATTTCAGAGACATTGCCAATAAAAGGCATTGCTGAAAAGAGTTGAAGTGAAATATAATCTTTCATGCCAAAAAGAGACAAAATCCAAAATTTGAAACTGCATTTTAATAACAATTTTAGAGACAGGCATATACCAAAGATGTGCTCTATTTTAATGTTTTCCAGGTATAGCAGGGAAATTAGAGCAATGGAGAGATGGCAAACTACTGAGAGTTGTATCAGATGATCCATACTATACCTACGAGACGCCGAATCTGCACACCTTTGACCCTCCCATCGTATTTAAAAAAGGTGAGTTTTTTAATTTAAAAAAAGCTACGTACGGTAAAAACGGTTTTGTCTTGTAGGTATCTTTTTTTTAACTGCGACGGTCCTCCGATCAGTAAGCAATGATTAAAATATTGCATGCAATTTAAAAAACATGCAAACTTATAGCACACCTTGTTCCATACGGCAGCAAGTAGTTAAAAAATAAAGAAAGAAGTAACAAAACGAATTATCATTTGCTGCAGGTGATGAGTTCCGCACATATTGTACATTTACCTCAAAGCGTGGTAAAAAGCAGAGACATGCCAACACAACCCCATTTTGGGCTGGGAACGCAGGTAGGGAAAACGGGTCGAAATCTGCCACTCTCATTACAATGGCGGCAGTGGCGGGATGGACATCCCTGCTTGGGCCTCAGTCACCTAACTGCCAGCTGAAGGGCATGCTACGCCACGCTAATATCTCAAAGCAAATGCATCCAGAAATTCATTGACTGAGGCCCAAGCATTTTATGCCGTGAAAGTGGCATCTTTAAAGACAATATTAGAACATTTTCAGTCGGTTTTACGTATTATTAAACATCTGGTTGCTGTACATTTCAGGATGAAATGTGTTTTGCTATCTTTACCTACTATCCACGTCAGCCTATTAACCCAGACTGCATTCAGTTAGACAATTATGACAGTTGTGGGGGTCAAGGTAAATGTTTTTCATTATCCTTTACTATTACCTCCATGTTTCCACAGTGATGCGCTTTTTTTAACTTATGAAAAAGATTAAAATCTGTTAAAACAGATAGCAAAATCTTTGAAGTCATTGGTTCTTTACATTTGCTTAGAAGAGTCGTATTTATAATGTCACCACATTTGCCATATTTACAACTTTATCAATGAATCCACCCCGGGTCATAGGGTGATTGATTTCTTTTTAAGCTTTTGACGTAGCTAATTTATCTAACCTGGGTTTGGTTGTTCTATTCCATTTTTTTTCATTCGACAATTTAGTCTGAGTTTTTGCATAGAGAAGTTTATTTTTCGTTTCATTTCTATTTCGTTTCAATGTTTATAATATAAAGGGTATTTTGCGATTGACAGCCGTAGCTAAGAAGTAAACTAATTTACATTTAGAATACGGAGACTGTCGACTGGCTAAGTACTATGGTGTGCTTGACAAAGTAAAGAAGAACGCGGAGTTTGAGAAGGTCTGTGACGTAAGGAATGGGAGACACTGCTCACGAAAATGTCATGAAATTGTTGAACCAGTCATGAAGCATCCCTGTATGCAGGTGAAGTTATAAATACCATTTCACATCGAACATAATGTTATACCTAACACACTCTCACACCTAACACAGCGTGACACCTTATACACTATTACACCAAACACACCGTCACACCTAACACACTGTTATATTTTAGACAATGCTATGCCTATCTTACCTAACACCTTGCCACATCTAAAAGACTGTTACATCTAATATATAATACTAGTACTATTGGGATATCTCTTTCACTCCTTAGTAATAAATCGAAATCTCTTTCACTCCTTAGTAATAAATCGAATATATTAACGAGGAAGTTAAATATTTCAGGGCAAGTTGAGAAGGATCATCCAAGGATTTGACCCAGTTTTCAGACCGGCTGAGATATTGAGAAGCGTGTCAGCATGCGAAAAGGGGATCTACGATCTCGGGGATTGCGCACCATACATCGGCTAGTAAACCGAGCGAAGAATATGCTCTAACGCACGACTAATTGAAAGAAATACCTTAATTCATTTTTCAATGCTGAACATCCAAATTTTATCCTATGAAAAATCTTGAAATATGTAAGCAATGAAAAACGTTTAAAGGTAATATTTTTTCAATTTTCAACGCATCTTCCATGGAGTTGTTAGAAACTTTTTCGAAATTGTCCGCCAAGTGGATTATTCTTAAGGGCTTAATTAAGTGTTCTCAACTATTGGACTGATTACAGTATGGACAGTAAAAATCTCTGAAATCTATGTCTATTGCCTGCTGTGTCCCAAGCGTTCATTTTATGATTTTTGCTCAAAGTGATATTAAAACATAGCTGATTAAAAATTAATTAAAGAAGAACAATGAGAGCATTACCGACCAAAATTGATCACATAGGTATTTCACTTTGTATGAAGCTTTCAATCACTGTTATAATTTGATTGAAAAATCTCAAACTGTTTAAAAACTTGTCATTACGTAATGCGTGATGATCATAAGAATATTGTAATATAATGCCAGATACGCAAGCACATATATCCATATCTTATCCTAAGTAATATACAATTAAATCCCAAACAATGTATACATTGAGTGTTCAGCTTTATTGTACGTCTTTTAATAATTTTTCTTCTTGTTGTTTAATAAAGCTTAGATCAAGCTCACGAGTTTTGTAATTAATTTAATGCCTCTTCTTATTTTAAACGTACTCGTGTAATTACCGGCTGTCCCGTATTCTACCGGTACTGACATGTGTGTGATTCATTTTAGCATCCAGGTAAGATGGCATTTTTTTTGCTTCAAGTGTTAAATCTTATTGTACTTATATCTAGATAAGCAGCTAATAGAGCAGAAATGATAAGCTATTTGCTATTTTGGCCACGTAAAAGAACCTATCCCTCTTAAAGAAGATAAATTCCCTATAGCAGTCTCATACACGTACCTATATGAATAGACAAAAAAATGTAGCACCGATTATTATTTTAGAAAAAAAAAAACAAAACAAAACAATTCAAAACAA